CTGAAAGACAGACACAAATAAAGCAAACAGTAACCTGCACATAGTTCACTATCTGTTGACGACCTTATGTCAGCCTTTGCTCTACTTCTTTACAGGGGAAATGCTGCTTGCCAATACAGCCCCTCCTAATTTTTACAGTCTAACGGCTCCAATAGTTCCTCTTTTGTGTTAACTGGGATTCAGCGTAACACAGTGAAGCAGTTACAACACTTTGCCAAACTGCTGCATTGCTCAACAGAAGGACAAACATCAGATCTTCTTAACACCAAAACAAAAGTCTATGAATTTCGGAAGTTCAGACTGTTGACTGGTGTCCACCATGACTTCTGTATAAAAACTAAAAATGTGTCATCAGCATGGCTAACGTCTTGTAGCATCAACTTTTCTGCGAACTGTTATGCGTATCACCAGAGGCATTACAGAAAGTGGACAGCTCACTTTAGAGTCATTTCTCTGGTCATTCTGTGTCACATGGGTTTTGCCAATGCCCCGCCCCTTTAGGAGACTTGCGGCAGGTCCTGAGTCTTTTCACTCCAATAGGAGAACGTGAGTATAGATTACGACTGACTCTTTCACCCTATGGTCACCGAGGTAAATACTGGACCCATTTTAAACAAGCCATATATCTCCTGAACATTCTGACGATAAAATGCTTATTTTCGGACGTATGTTGATGATGTTCTCTTCTGCCTTCTGCTAAGAAGTGGTGAATTTACAGCTCATGGCAACTTAATACGATACAGTCTCTGTTTTTTGTTTGATGTCTAGTGTCAAAAGAAAAAATGTTGTTGGACATTATCCAATCCATCTTTAGCATAGTTAGCTTGTTTGCCATATTTCAGTCAGACAACTCACGTTTAAAGTGTTTATTTCAACAGCAGAACATAGTTAGTTTGACGTCTAGACCCCAGCCTCATTGCTTCCCGCCGATATGTTGACTTGAGATATTGGGAAGTAATGATTAAACATGACATGTGTATGAATCAGCGCAGCTCAAGTTGCCTGCCTGAACTAGCTCACAGGCCTCGCTCCATTACGGTCATAGTGAACGTCCTGCTGAAACCTGTTCAAATTAATCAAATTAAATCTAATTCTATACAAAAAAGGAACGAATAGTTGAATATTCTTATGACATAATTCTGAGCTGGGTACAGCCTTAGTCTGAGCCACACACTGTTGTGAGAACTGGCAACAACTGATGTGATCTTGCATTCAGTTGAAATCAGAAATTAAGCTAGTGAGCGACAAAATAAGGAGCAAACATTAACTTTCTACTGCAATGAGCGTTTTATTTTAAAACTGCTTTCATCTATCCTCATAACACTTTAAAATGAGGTGGGGGTAACTGGGTGGGGGTGGGATCTGTGCCAAATTACGAAACAGGAAGTGGAACCATTTCATACCATTGGTGCTGCTAATGCATTATCTCCTGTTATGGAGCATCTTGGTATCACTTTACATGTTATATACACAGTATGTATAGGAAATCCCATTTTAGCAAGAAATATGCATAGACATGTGAAATGTAATACACTGTTGGAGTTCGGAAAGTAGCCACAAAGAATGACACCAATGTTATGTGATGCCACTTCAATGCTCACTAAGCCAGGACAGCCACAAAAATGAGGGTTTCCAGAATATTTCAGACCAGGATGAAAATAATGAAATAACTGGGGGGAAAAAATAAATTCTTCAAGGTCAAAACTCAATAAAAGACTCATGCTGTGACAATAAAGATCCAAATGATCAATTATAGTATTAGAAGTCAAAGAAAGCCTTGACAGAGACCAAAATGAAAGAGGGACAAAAATCTCTCGGCACAAACACAGAGATTTTAACCTCAGACTTTAACTCAGGGTTTTTGGGGACGACACACCCAGAACTGAGTATATGTGCACTGCGAGGAGCAGACATACACACACTTCTTACGTCCATCTATGCACACTTTTCTCTTTAATGAGCCCCGAACACATGTTAACAAGATGGGAGAAACATGTCTTAAAAGACACCCACAGCATGGCCGCTGTCCCAGCTCTCTTAGCTTTACCCAAACAACTCCTCTCATTTTTCCTTCTCTCTCTCTGTGAAGATACCCACATAATGAGTGTGGTTCCAACACTCTTACATGTCCTCCTCTGCCTTTGGGGAATGAACCCACAATGCCGGCCCAGTCCCAACACTGTTAACTGAACCCTCTCCTCACAGTAGGACTATTTCTTCCCCCTCCAAATTACTCCTCACTCCCACTTTGAAGCCGTCACTTGCTGTCACTGCCTGTCACGCAATAAAAATCAATATTTCGCAAATGATCTCAGAAGAGGCGATGGTGTGAATGTGACTGTTAGTTTGTTCTCACCCTTGTGCATCTGCCATCCCTCTGTTTTCCACTTTGATTTCACACTCCTTAATCATAGAGCTCAAAATAACCTGTGGAGGAAATGACAGAGACAGATTTAACTGTAATGTAACCTTTACAAAAAGCTCTTTGTCTCTAAAACAAAACTGAGTCTCGTGATTTGCTGGAAGACTTCTTTTAGGAAAGCAATGCCATGTATGCAATAGCTGTAATAAGGATGCAAGACAGGTGGTGTGGAGGTCTAATTCTGCCCCGACACAATAAAATAAAAACCATTTGTATTTTTTTTTTTAATGCATCAAACTTCCAGATTGGAAAGAATCCCCGTCTTAGGATCTGATATGTAGACTTTACAGACAGAGCGGATGTGTACAGCGGAAAAGAATCAGCTGATCATTAGTCACCTTGGGAAAATGCTCACATGAAATGCATCGCGTGAGATTCTGAGACACAAATAAAAATGGCAGAGGTGTGCATATGAGTATGCCCGAGAATGGGGTGAAGAGTCAGACTGTCTGTCTTTACCAAGAAGGAGTGAGATCCTCTCAGAGAAAATGGACAGACAGAGGAGACCGTCTGGCCCATCAGCGCATATGCCAACGAAACACTAAATGCATGCATTGTGAGTGTTGGAGACGGCATGTGAATATGTGCAGGAGTGTCTCCTGACCTCGTGCTCAGGAGAGAGTTGTTCCATGTCGGCACGGAGACACCTGAGGCCTGGCAGGAAGTGGTTGACCATCACCTCCTCAGAAATGACTGCACCAGAGGTTAAGGAATGAAAAACCAGTCGATCCAAAGCACCTTGCAGCAGAGTGTATTACTGTTCATACAGAAGGAATGCTAACTATTCAAGGTCCTGTGCAGGTTTCAGAAAGCAAAATGTGGGTGTTCATTTTAAAACTGAATAATTGGGGAATGGAAATAATGAAAAAAGAGAGCAAAAACAATCTATTTTTAACTGAATATATAAACTACTCTGCTCACAGTCACTCTAAGATAAAAATGTCCCAATGCTTTCTATTAAAAACCGAACTTTGTAATAGCCCTCTTATGCATTAATCTTGGAGTGGAGATGTAATGCCTTGTCTATGCGTCTTGTTTTTCTAACTACATGTATAGACATAGAAACTAAAGGTGGTGTTTTTAAGGCCAGGCCGTTACAAATATTATTTGGATAGTGTTTCCAGGCATTACCAGAAAGGTAGAGTTCACTACTGCAGGATAATTCTAAATATATATGTAAAAATAATCATTTACTGACTGAAAATCAAATGTGTTTTTAGCTTATTTTCCTTTGATTGTACAAACATTCTTAAAATAAGTCTACTGCTATACGGCACAATCGTACTTTGTCCAGGACTGTATGTGCTCTGCCACCTGTCACAAGCCAGTGCAGCTATGTAGGCCACAGAGTGAACAAATCTATATTTTTAGAGATGGGAATGTACAATTTCAGAGCTTGTCACACTGATTACACGAGAAAGAAGTGCAAGTGGGAGGTAAAGCCTCTGAGGTTAGGGCTATACCTCCTGGACACTACTGCACTGTGAAATCACAGCCTGACAAAGATCCGCAGGAATGAACCTCAGACCAGCTGTGTGTGTGTGTGTGTGTGTGTGTGTGTGTGTGTGTGTGGGGTGGGGTTGACAGAGAAGAGTAGCAAGAGGAAAAAGAGTGTGAGAAAGGAGGAATAGTACGAGGAGAAACAATCACAGAGGAGAAGGGTGACAGAGACGGAGCAAAGGTAATGTAAACATGAGCCCTGTCCTGGGAACTGTTCCCAACAATTGGAGCCGATGCTCAGTTCTTCCCTCCTCTCACGCTCTTTCTCCCTCTCTCATCCTTTCCTTTGCTTAACTAACCCTGTAATTACCTCGAGCCCCGAAATGGAGGCAGCTTATTTTCCCTTTCTGCTCCTGCCAAATGACGGGCAAACTCTGCCAACACACACAGCAAACCGCACACTCAGGCACAGGGGCCACGCTGATACGCAGCACACAGTCATACAGGCACACTCAGGAGCACATCTAACCAGTGCAGCGAGCGTTTGGCTGGTTATTTAACGGCCTTCCCACTGACTCACTCTTACAACACCTCGTCTTGAACCCGAGCCAACCTTGACACAGACTTCTAGTAAATGCTTTGGAAATACATACAGCACAGTAGTTAAAAAAATATGAGTGAGCTGCCCTTTTGGAAACTGAGGACTGCAAACTTTTCCCCTCGAGTCTGAAAAGGTTGTTTAACTGTTATCAGCATATAGCCAGTGTAAGAACTATAAATACAGCGTTAAAGTCCTCCTAAAGAAGGTAAATCCAAGCTGACCAGTACATGGAAAGGCTACACAGATCAGTAAGTACGACCTAGAGAAGGATACAGCAGCAGGAGAGGGCGCTGTAGGCCTCAAACAGCTGGGTGGCGATATCAATCCTCTTGCTCTCCACTGTCTGGCTGTTGTTAGCCAGCGCCAGCTTGTGAAGATGTGGCAACACGACTAGAAGACGTCATGAGAAGCAGAGTTTAAGAAAAAATTACACATAGTTCACAACTTTTTTTAAAATATGTACTTGTGTCGTTTACATACACTCATCTCTAAAGCGTGGCTCAGCGTTAGGTCCAACCCTCCCAAACGTCCTGATGATCTCCATGTGCAAAGAGTGCTGATCTTGGTACTGCGGGTCCTCCAGGAATGAGGCCAGCTGCATTTTTACACGCTCCAGCAACTACACACACACAGAAAGTATGTTAATGCATGTTTTATAATGATTTGCTTAATTATTTGTCTAATTATTGTCATTAGCACATTAGGCGTGTGTGTACCTCTTTCTGTGTGACGGTCTCCATGATAGTACCAAAGGCAGGGATAGTGGATATCCTCACTGAGCTAAAAGCGGCGGGAGAGCAAGACAAAGGTTTGACCATTCATAGTCACCGTATCGCTACTTTTAGGTCTTCCCCAAATTCTCCATAAGTGTGCCTTTTAGCAGGAATCACAAAGAGTCAAATATTCTCTGAATATAGTTTGCAGATTTATTTAAATATGTTTGAATAATCAGATTGTTGGGTTTTAACTACATTGACTTAAATGGCCTCAGGTTATGTGATTAGCAGGGAGGCAGCAATTTGGTTTCCTGGGGCTATATTGATTTTTCAAATACTGTTACGAACTGAATCAATAAATAAAACAGACCACTGCAAAGTTATACTCAAAAATAAGTCTAAGAAATTAAATATTTCTCTGCATATTTGTTATTACAACGGCACACCAAGCGCCCAATAAGCATTTTTCTAAAACCACAAAAAGGTACTTCTTGTACTTGTACAACTTCTACCACATGTTTTGCGTTTTATCAAATACAGTGATTACATAGTAATGACACGCTGGTAACCATAGTGATGACTGAGATGACCGCTCACGGGGACTGCCAGTTTTTTAGCTAACAGCTACTGAGTTTCTATTTGACTGGGCAGTTGCAACAACAATCATCTGACTGAAATCTGCACAATCAATCAGTGCAACCTAAAAACTATAAAACATAAATACTAAATGTTGTTAATAATATTTGACCCAGATCTAAACGTACACTTGATTAGATCTGTAATGGATATATTCACCACATCATTCTTGAGCTAACAGCTAAAAGCTAACAATCCCAAAGATAAAGAGATCACAAGTACTTCTTTAAAAAAAGGGATAATTCGATTCCCAAAGCCGTCATGAAAAATACCAAAACTTGATGATGCAAATTAAAAATCCTCTATGATTTTAATGAGCTGCGATAAGCAAGATTAATGGGGTGCTGTTAGGGTGATGCTAGATAATCATTCCACTGTCAGTAGTAGCAGGAAAGACTTAAAGATACACTTGAGCCATCTTGGACTCTGCTGATCCTGGACACAGCAACACATGTGAAAGACAACAGGCCAAAAATCTTAAAGGTTACAAAACAACATATTTCAAGGTGTTGAATCTACAAGTTGGGTCAAGTGTGTACCCATTAGCATGTGATTTTCAATACAGAGAATGATGAGATGAGAAGGGCTGCATTCCAACAGTGTTGCCACTAATTTATTTATCTTGTCTAATCACAAACATGACGGCTATACGCTTGCAGCCCTAAATATGTATTTGTAGGAGAGCTGGTCTTTGAATAACTGTCAAAGTACAGCTAAGAAGATTGTTGTGTTTATACTACAATGAAAAGGACAAATGTGATTAAAGTTAGATTTCAGTATTCATCCAACTTCAAATGTTTAGCCATTCACTGCGGCTCCAGACTGGTGGATCATTGAAGACAGGATACAGGAAGAGTGGCAAATGACTTCAGACCCTGACTTCCTTTTCCACTGAATGTTTGTGGTGGTTAAAGAAGCTGCCACTGATGTTCTTCAGATGTACTGAACAGTTTATGTGTCAAATGTCTTTTTTTTTTTTTTTAGTGCCCATTCAAGCTCAGTAAGACAGATTTCTAGCAGGATGTTGCTTCACACTGTAAGAATGCAGCCCACAAAATGACAATGTTTACAGAGAGGTTTTCTTGTGTCGATTGACTCACAATTCAGGCCCACTGCACAGAGTTATAAGGGCCGGAGCCGCACGGCGATCTACTAATGCTTCACTCATGCCTCGGAGAACCAACTGCAAACCCATCACACAGCAGGATGAGAGAGAGGGAGAGGCAGGGGGGGAGGAGGAGGAGACAGAGACAGGAGAGAGGAGAGAGGGGATAGAAGATAGAGGGGATGATATGGAGGATAGAGAGAGGAAGAGAGGAAAATAGAGTGACAGGATAAAACTGAGAGAGACGGGGTGAAGATAACCAATCACTAGCTGACGGATCGGTCAGGAGGAGGGGCCTTGCTTAAACAGAGTAGGGTGGAGGAGGAGAGGATGGGTTACAGACGAGCATGCTGGGACTGTGCTATTGCCGCATGCAGGCAATGTGCACGCACAAATCTGGGCTGTTAGTGTCGCAGACTGATGAGGTGACGAGAGCTGCCGTGGGTTAGTGTTGCAGACTGATGATGCAAACGTGCAGTTAACAGTGGTTATGCTGATGAACCACTCATGGCCCTGCCTGAACCTACACAGGAGCAACTCCACACAATTATCTGCCATTCAAAAGGACACTTGTGAGGAGATTTGGGGGATTTGAAATTATAGAACTGATATCAAATGGAGTAAATTGCTTACCAACAGAGTTAGCGTCTTCAGAGATTGTTTTGTGCTGACTTTGCTCCTGGCAGGTTCAGACTTGTTTCAGTGTGATAGTTCTCAGGCGGCAAAGAGAAGGGGGGAGAGAGACGCGGCGCGGTTTATTGTTGTTGTTGTTCCACTTACATTTCAGGGTCGGAGGACAGTGTGATGAGAGCCGGCACCACTCTCTGAGCTACCAGCGTCTCATTCACCCCCTTCACCAGCAGCTGATCGGATTGGACAGAGCCAGCCGTGATGTCACAGAGGTGGGCGGGGCATTGGGACAAGAGCGAGCAACACCGCCAATAGATAGAGAGAAAGGAAAGAAAGAAAAAAAAAAAGCAAAACAGAAGAAGGGGAGGGAGAAAAAAAAGAAAAACAAACACAAAAAAGATAGGAAGAAAGTGATATACAATGACAAGAACCATAGCTGCAAGGCACGGAACGGCACTGCATGTATCGAGCAAGTGTGTGTACACACACAATCACACACACACACACACACACAAACAAATACACACACACGCACACACACATGCACACGCATGTATGCAGAAGAAATGGCGAAGCCAACAGAGCTAAACTGCACAAACACTTTTACAGAATGGTGAGCAATAAGCTGTGGGCTCTTTCCAGAGACTCCAGGTCAGATTCTTTCGTTCCATTTAAATTGATAAATAGCTGGCAGTAAACAAATCTGATCTGGGATCTGTGGCAGAGAACCACATTTCAACCCACAGTTTTGGCAATGGTGGACAGCTAGTCACTATGGAATGGTGACAGGGGGGTGTGTTGGGAAAGGCAAGTACTTCACAAAACAGGGGGGACATGGATACAGCCTACCACTCCTCCTCCCCCAGGTTTCGACCAACATAGGCCCGGTTCCACTGCTATACCTAGATCCTCATCCCAATGTTTGACCTAAACTGTGCACGGATCTCAAAGGACAGGGAGATTTGTTACAGTTGTTTAGGCCAGGAGTTTTGCCTTGACAGCCTGGCAAGGACAAAAACAAGGAAACGGTTGTCTCCCTTGAAAAATAGTCGGAATATTATATTTCTAAAAGACCTTAAATACTGAAAAACTAAAAATATTCATGAGAAAACACTTCTGATTAAATTATACTTTCCGACAACACTGAAAATGAACAGGCCTTGAACTTTTCTGACTTTACTTTCAGGTTGCTGACTTCAGTCTTTCTCTGACATGCAGCAGATATTTATGTAGTCCGCTCTGAGAGCAGTGCACAGTCAAAGGTCTGATGTGAATTTTTGGAGGGTCTAGTCATACAGTTGGAACCAGGGCGCTCGTAAGCTACAGTAGTCTTTACTCACACTCATATGACAGAGTTGCTAAGTATCAAATGCATAATAAACAGCAGCAATAGCAAGCAGAGCTAGCACATGTACAGCAAAAAGATAAACATGAATATCATAACTATAACAAAAGACTGCATAACTGTTTGTGACTGCAATTATAGTACAAAAATACAGTATGTATACTTTAATTTAGAATGTATTGTCTGTATAAAGTTAAGATGCTTTAACTCTAACATACCATTTCGTCCATAATTGTGCAGTCACATTATACTATTACTATACTATTCTACTGGTATACACGCTATAAAAGAGCAAAAATCATTTATGCTAATGTGTTTCTAAAAATGTAAAAAGGAATAATTGCATCAACAATGACATTTTTGTAAATGATAGCCAATCAGAAATCCAAACATCTTTAATAAGTTCAATACACTATCTGTGTGTGTGTTCTCTACCTCAAACATCCGTGCTGCAGTACACCGGACCAGTGCAGAGGTATGGACGACCCCATACCACAGAACAGTGAGCAGCAATTCATGGTACACTGGGTTGGCACTGAAAAGAGAGCATGAAGTAAATACTGGGTAATACTGTGGCAGCTGTCAATAAACAACTGACTTTAAAACTGTGAGAAAAGTTTTTCCACACAACGCTGTAAATAGGTTACACTGTAAAAGGAGGAAGTATATGTCAATAAATAAAAATCAATCCATTCAATCTGCTTTTGTGACATAATTTTTCACCCTGAATCGAGCATCACTCACTACAGAAAAACTGCTATGGTGTTTTTTTCTTCGTCATATTACAGCAATTATTTTTCTTTTTTAAATTTGTTTAACCAGAAAAACCTGAGAATCTAAGGAGTGTTTAAGAGTGTCCTGGCCAAGACAGGCAGCAGTATACGTTAAAGACAACATAGAACAAGCAATATAAAACACAAAGTAAGATCACTATAAAGAAAAGCCAACCATAAAAGTGCAAAAAGGGCAACTACACATGGTTACAAAGACCAGCTAAGATATACTGTGACAATGGCATATAGAAGATTGTGTACAAAAATACTCCAACAGTGCTTTGAATACTGATACAGTATTCACACGTTATTTTTTAATCAGCACTGTTTGAAATCATCTGTTTTAGTTTGATCAAATTAACTTTCTTTCTGATACTTGCTTTGCTGACACATCAGCTGCTAGAATTAGCTCTTATGTTCATTAGCATCAATGATGATGAAATCTGTTGTAGGAATATTTGTGTGGTTGAACAAAAGTAATATTATATTGTTGAAAAAATAAATAAATAAAAATGTATGTCGTTTTTGTTTTTTCTAAATGACCAGAAACAGTGGTCCTCACTTGGTAGTGTGGAATGACAGTCCACTGTTGGTAATGTAGGAATGTATGTGTGTGTGTCTCACCCTAGCTCTACAAAGGAGGCCTTTAAGCTGTCCAGAGGTGCATGGGACAGGGACAGTGTTGTCATGACATCCTCCAGGAAACCCACCAACAATTTGCGATCCTCGTCCTGTACAGAGGTCATTTCATTTTTATCAGTCGACAAATAAATCAACATCTACATCTTAATTTGTACATATACGTGCACATTTCTACAGATCATTTGGGAGCATTTTGGGACAGCATTCATCCTTTGTCACTTTCACAATGAGATAAAATGAGCTGTTCTGAACATATTTTGTTGAAATGTTGTGTTGAAAGGTAAATAAAAATACAGCATGTGCTGTCCACAGTGTTTTGCAAGTGCCGCATAATTTCATGGACCTAAAATCAAAACAAGAACATGTGGCGGCTTGATGTGTTTTGCAGTGGATTTTCCCTCGTGACTAAGAATAGGGCCAAAAATACTCATTATGTCAACGAACTATACGGAGGAAATCATTAAGTTATTGCTTGATTTATCTTGCAAGACTCTTATAAATCAACTTCAGGTCAGCTTAGGGCTGGGCAATATATAAATACTATATCACTATCATGGTATGAGACTTTATGTTGTCTTAGATTTTGGATATATTGTAAGTGTAGGCTTTTCCTGGTTTTAAAGGCTGCATTACAGTAAAGAGATGTGATTTTCTGAACTTACCAGACTGTTCTAGCTGCTCTATTATTTGCCTTTACTCATTAGTAATTGTATCCACATTACTGATGATTACTTATCAAAAACCTCATAATAAATATAATGAATAAAGCGTGAAGGACCAATAGTCAACTTTACAATATTGTCACAATATCAATATTGAGGTATTTGGTCAAAAATTTAATGATATATGATTTTCTCCACATCATCCAGCCCTAGGTCAGCTATGTTTTGGCTGTGGTCTGCTGTTAATTTACCTGGTTGTAACAAGTCAGCACTCCAGTGGCATAGATAGGGACTGTGGCTTTGGTGAGAATATCGTTCCCTGCTGTAACATCTGACAGAGGAACAAAATCAGGATGAAAACCAAAAACAAGACGCCGATTGTTCACACAATCATGGCTCAAGATCTGACACTGACACTCTTTTTTCTGCTATTAAAGTAACACTTCACCCCCCAAATAACCATCTGCATATCAGTAACTCAGCAGAATCCTTTAAGACAACATTTTTCACATGCCTCTGGTAAACAGTGAATCCAAAAATAGAAAAAATTCTTGATGACTGAAGTCATATGGGTCAGCATAACTGTATGAAAACATCTGTTAACAAACTGTCAGAACTCATGCAGTATAATCCAAGTCTCATTTATCTAGTCATACGCTCCGTAATTCCCAAACAGACGGCCTTTTCTGACGGGGAACTGAACTAAAAGTGACACTTAAATATGGTCTCCTCAAAGCCAGACTCCATTAACAAAAAAAAGTAATTTTACCTCACATGACTGCTGGTTAAGCTGCTTGTCCACAGCTGCCTTGATCACTGAATTTGTTTATCATTATGTGACCCTGGTGTTTTAAAGGGTTAGTTCGGATTCAGCAAAGTCACACAATAACACTAACAAACTAACTATCGGAGTAGCAGTGGATCAGCAGCTCCCATGTTCAGTGAGGTAAAATTACTGTTTTCATCAATGGAGTCTGGCTATGAAGAGAGAATAGGTAAGTTTCACTTTAAGTTCAGTTCCCTGTTAAAGGACTGTCTTTTTCAGAAGTACTGAGCATATGACAGGATAAATCACACTTGAATTATACTGCATGAGTTGTGTAAGAGTTTGTAAAAAGATGATGTGATATAGTTTTGCTGTTGTTAAATGAGGACCCCTCTGACTTAAATAACCCAAGAATTTTCTCACCAGAATTCACCAGAAGCATGTGAAAAAAAAAAGTTTTCTTTACTAATTCAGTGTAACACGTGGCGAGCAACTGAGATACAAATGGTCACACCACTCCTTTAAATGGTCAAGTATTCCTTTAAACACTATGGCTGCTGTGTTGAACACGTGAATAACCATCATCTGTTTTTTGACAAATTAATCACAAAAATTAACAATACATCAACGTACAATCAAACAAAACAAAACATGCGGTGAGGTGCAGTCTATAATATTGTGCTAGGCATTTGGTAGCACAACTGTGTCTGTAACATGTTGTTTACAGAATGCATTACATCGTTGTGGTTTGACAAAAATATACTGAAAAGGACAGTTACAATGTAAGGTCACAATGACCTTAACGCAGACTGGGATCCGATACAAAACACATTTCATAAATGGCCACAATACCAAAGGCTAAATCACTTGGCAGCCAGCTGAGACCAAGCACCTCTTATAACTTCAGAAACATGTCCGGAATTAAAAAAAAAAAACAGAAGAAGAGGGGAACACCCAGGACTGACTCCAAATAGCTTGTTTACATCAACAGTGCCTGCGCCTGAGCTCCACCTACCAACATTCTCTTAAGGGAGCTGAGAAAGCCTTACAACAAATGCACATCTGTGTGTATGTGAAGGTTTAATATGGACTCACCAACATTCTCCTCAGATAGTCGGAGGATCTCTTGGAACTGTGGTTTGACCTGAAAAGTTCATTAGTATAAACAAAATGTCATCATTTATATTCAAACACATCATTGACATTTAGTGTAAAGTACCATTTCACACTTGAACAGTTAATACTGTCAATACCTCACATGGATTTTTGATGAAAATCTTTACAAGGTCAGAAAAAAACTGCATTTGCAAAGATTTACACTTAAAAGGTTACTTGAAAGTTAGTAGTAAACTAATATTTCAGACACCTTGTGCATGCTAGGATACCTTATTTTCAAGGTACAAAGCAGAGCAAACATTTTACTCTGAGAATTTAAACACTCAAAATGGCTGAAAATATCTATAAAGTGCATGCTTACATGGATTTTGGAATTTATAAATTCAAAAAATGTAACGTGGGTACTTTTTGGACTTTTAAGTGGAGAGGCAGAATTTAAATAAGTTGAACTGAGAGAGAGCACTACAACTTTAAAATCGAAGTGTTGCAGTAGCACATTTTTTTCCCTTGCATGGTTTTACCTTAGCGTTGGTAAAAATCTTGCCGAAGGTGCGACAGAACCTCCAGAAGAAGCGTGAGAACTCGTGCACGCAGGTCGATGACGTAACATTGATACGACCCACGATCTCTATGAGCTGCGGAAGGCTGGAGACAGAGCAGACAGGTGGCAATCAGCGTTGTGATTGTTTGCGTATGCTTTTATGATACCATGTACAAAGCTGTCTGTGTACATATATGACTTTACATGTGCGTGTGTGTGTGTGTGCATTTCTCACAGTTGGTTGACCACCCATAGCAGGCTGTCCCAGCCAGTGGTTCCCTCATGCTCCAGCTGGTGGTCGTAGAGCAGCAGCAGAGCACTCAGCATCTCCCTGCTGCCGATGATGGTTGCCACGTCCTGGAGGGGCGACGCTGGCCTGGGGAACCGCGTCACTGCAGGACCAACGACACAGGATCATAAGAGAAAATCAGGAGATGTCTTACTTTAACAATTACTACTTCTACTTCTTGTGTGTCTGTGTGTGTGGTTGTCTCACCCTCTATTGCAGGTATGTCTCCGTTGAGTTTGGCTCTGCTGGTGAAGGGTGCATTCTGCAGCACCACGGCGAACAGAGGAGGGATGAGAGACTGCAGGGCCGAAAGGAACACGTGGAGCTTGTGTTCATCCAGACCATGTTCTCCTTGCTACAGAAAGAGGAAGGTGTGGAGGGTGAGCATGACAGAAAAGAGACACAGAGAACAAACGTGAGAGAGTGAAATTTATTAATGTGTGGTGCTGAGATCTGTAGCTTGGAAACTAAGAGTCAGATGTAGTCAGATTTGTGCAGATTTTGTTTGTAAGGGTCAACTACTACTGTAGACATATTGAAAATACACCTACCTGTAGCATTGGGTAGTTTTCATCACAATGTTTATCTACATTACCAGTGATTTTCTAGTGCATGTTTACAGCATGTTGCTTTAATTTCATGTTTGTTCTGAATATTCGTTTCCTCTCATTTACTGCACATTACACGTCTTGAACATACAATGTATTATATATATCATTTGGATGTTTTTCGCTCAACAAGCGTGATTTTTACTATCGGGATGGGATGAGAAAGGCTCTCAGGTTTGAGGCAGGCACTTACCATAAGTAGCTTCTCTATACGTGCCAACAGAGAAGGGATGAGTGCAGATTGCAGGGTGCCCAGCTCTGTAGTCCAGGCAGCAAAGGCAGGAATGAAGACCTGATGGACTGCACTGACCACCCGCTCTGATGGGTCCCCCAGTGACAGCAGCATCAGCTCAAAACCCTGGAAGATACACACGATGATGTGCGTGAGAGGAGGATTCACCAACAAGCACTTACAGAAACGGGAAGTAAAACACTTAATATTATACACACTTCCTTCGCACAACACACATACCTGGGAGTACTTGTCAGGGTCATCAATGTAACCCATGATGATACCCAGACTCTTGACCACAGCCTCTCTAACCATGTCAGCCTTATCCTCAGCGAGCATCTGCTGCAACATGGACAACACTAAGGAGCTACGGATCTCCTTCTGCAGAGACAGAAAGCAAGACAGACGAACACAGATGAATTTTTTATTCATCTATATTCATGTAAAATCACTTTTTAATGTGTATATGCATATGTTCTTACAGGCAGGTATGGTGCTAAGGCCCCACAGGACTCCGCCACCAACAATCTCCTCTCCGGATATTTGTGGTTAATCTACAAAAAAAAGGAGAAAATATTTAGAGAAAAAAAGTGTAAAAAGAAGTTCAGAAACAGAAGGTAAAAGGAGAAGAGAAGTAGACTGGAGGGCAGCCACGGTGGAATGGAAACAACTCGAGTATCATCAACACGCTGACCCTGTGGAAACCACTATTGGTGATTCTAGGCAGATTCTCAGCCTCCAAACTGCCGGCAGCTGTTGTTGCCATAAATGTGTTTCATGAGGTGACACAGGTGGCAATGAAAACAAAACTGCTATCATTATGAGTCAGGGACACCATGGAGGTAATAACAGTGATTTTCTGAGTCAGAATATGCAATTACAACAATGCTGAATGGGGTGCCCGCTACATGCAAGACGCAACTAACATTTGTTTCAAATATACTGCACAATGAAATATTTTTGCATTGGCGCTTTGTGCATTTCTTGCAAAACAGAAGTATTTTCCTTTTGGTCAAATCTACGAAGAGGTGGAAACGACAACAAAAATAATGGCTGACGTTAATTCTAAAGTCTTTGTGCTAAAATAAAACAAAAACATCCTCCAGATGTGGAAATGAAATGTCACAGACAACTTAACTAAAACAACAACAAAAGATGAAATTAAAAAAGTGTTGATGAAGCCCTCTTTGTATTACCATTGCAGAAAATATTAGTGACAGAATATTCAGTAACAAAGGCCACCTGCAGTGTATGAACTGTACCTGTTCCCAGCACTGAGGAAGTAGCTCAGCCTCGACACGCGTGGGACCCACATGCCTTGCGAATGCAACACATCCTGTCAAGATCATTTGTCTTTGGAAACACACACACAAAGAAACACATGAGAACATACTCCTGGATAAACTCATAGTTGTCTTTCTCTCTCGGGGCTTAACAATGGTATCACCGCAAGAGGTTGATCGACCAGAATATCGTTCCATCTACACGCACCTTTGCTCATCATCTGGTCTCTTGATTAAATTAAAGAGGATGTGGAGGAGCTGGTCTCTCTCTTTAGGCTCTGGGTGAAGGCAGGCAGTACATAAGATGAGTGGGATCAATTCCTGAAGACAAGAGAAACAAGAGACAGAAGTGGCATCAGTTTGAATATCTTCGCAAAAGGAGAATGGGGTTGAAACACACAAGGAAAGGATGGTCGCTAGCAGTCAAGCAGGCCTGGAGGTCTATTGACGGGGATTAGGAAAGAGGGAGAGGTGTTGAATAAAAGGAGGAGAGAAAACAGGAAAGTCAAAGGGAGAAATAAACACAGGGGGCCACCTCTGAAACCAACAGGAGTCCGTCAACACCAGTGAAAACATGCTTACCTTCAATACCTTGTTGGTGTTATACCTTGACTCATTTGGCTTTTGGAGTCACGCACATACAATTAGAGCCACGTACTGAAGAAACTTAAACAGTGCATGCACACACCCAGACACAGCTGCATTTAGACACACACATACCTTTTTGCACTAGTTCCCTTACTACAACACAGCTCTATCCCAGAGTTCAGACAGAGTTTATGGACCTTCCAGCCAGAGGGGAGAGAGCTCGGCTGCCCTTGATACAGGGCCTCCATGGCCAAATTGTGGTCAGCCCTAAATTCCCGCCACACACACCCAAATTAGAGAGTGCACACAGAGTTAAAAATATGTTTTTTTTCAAACAAACTGTTTTTTTTTTCCAGGAAGATATCATAGTTGCCTGCCAAGTGCTGGAAGAGCGAGCAAAACCCCAACGCTGGACGGACAGATGGACCTGACAGAGACACTTGGGTAAAGATAGGCTGTGATGAGTCACCCGCTCAGTGCTGGACCAACTCTCTGAAGTCAGTGCCATGTTGGCTATCTTTTAAAAAGTAAAAATACGACATTTAAGTATCAGAGGGCCATTTTAAGTGGCTACATGACGAGTTCAATATGGGTGAAATCAGTTCAAGCGTCAAAAAACCTGCAAATTAACTGTATTTAGGGAAGTTAAGCTGTCACATTCAATAATCCTCTGCCCCGGCCTCTGAAAAAACCATACATCTTCACAAGAGACATTTTTGGAGACTTAACAGCACTGGCCTGATAAAACAAATAAAGGAATTCATAAACAGCACACATCTGAAAAGCCAGAAGCCACGCTGATCCTGCTCTATTTCTGTGTGAACTCCTGTGTTTCTGATGTGAAGACTCCTTCAGGAGGTTAAACATCTGACCGGTCTTGGATAAACATTGTGGGCAGGTAGAGTGGACAGCACGACGCCAGGACCCAGAGGCCAGGGGGGCCTGATGCTTTACTTCAAAGAGCCGAGTGACTGCACATTCCAGTCCAAGGACCACTATGTGCAAGAGCCTGCATCCAAATGTTACCCCACATTCCCATTCCACCTTAACCAAATCTTACCAAATCTGTATTATTAAATGTTTCGGTTACACTTTACTTGAAGGTTTCTATATAATGGTGACATGACACTGTCATAACATGACATGACACTGTCATGAACCTGTCATGAACATTATGTACATGTCATAAACGTTTATGACTGCTGTCATTAAGTGTGTTTTTGTAATGACAAGTTGACATTGTTTGGGTTGTCTTGATTATGACAACTTGACACTGATCAAAGTGACATTACCAGAGGATGTCTTTGTATCAATCATTATGTCAACTTATCTTGAACACAAAAAGAGGTGCATTTCTTTCATTAATGTCAAGTTGTCATTATAGCTGCTGCGCAGCAATGGTTGGGCCCGGGCATTTTAGGCAAAATTAGGCAATTCTGAGCAACACACACACTAAAACAAAGCATATCACAACATAGAAGTTACATCATATAATTATGGCATGCCCTTCAAATTGTGGATGAGTGGCTGAAATGATCAGACTCACAATATACAAAGGAAAGAAAAAACTCAAGAACAAGAAAGTAGGAATAACATTAACTGCTAGCAATTATGAACAAACTGGTCTGATCTAGCTTAAAGCTAAGCATTATCCATGGTGGGGTGGCATGGTGGTGTGGTGGTTAGCACTCTCGCCTCACAGCAAGAGGGTTGCCAGTTTGATCCCGGGCGTGGGAGCCCTTCTGTGCGGAGTTTGCATGTTCTCCCCGTGTCAGCGTGGGTTCTCTCCAGGCACTCCGGCTTCCTCCCACAGTCCAAAGACATGCAGATTGGGGACTAGGTTAATTGATAACTCTAAATTGTCCGTAGGTGTGAATGTGAGCGTGAATGGTTGTTTGTCTCTATGTGTCAGCCCTGCGATAATCTGGCGACCTGTCCAGGGTGTACCCTGCCTCTCGCCCGAGGCAGCGACCCTCAAGAGGATGAAGCGGTTAGAAGATGGATGAATGAATGAATTATCCATGGTGACAAAGATGAAAACATTTTTTAAAATGTAAAAGTAGCTACTGGATAGACACTGCATATTGACTGATAGCTAAGCCAAATAAACAGGGAAAAGAGACAAGGGATAACAGGGAAAAGTGTTGATAAAGAGTATTTGTCTCTCCGCAAAACTGCCTGGATCATAATTATTTTAACCTTAGTAGTCTCTAATCCACATAGCATGATGCCTGAACATATGACTGTCACATTAGAATGTCCGTTCTGCCTTAGCTGAGGCTTGAACTCACAACTTCTGAGACTGAGGTCCGTCTTCTATCTCACTGAGCTAACTGGCAAGTGACAGTTCATGTGTGGCTTCACAAATTGACTAAGCCAAGCATCAGGGTGCCAGACAGTAGCCATCCATGCCATGGAAAAGCAAATTTCAAAGTGAAAGTTCCAAAGCTGTAGCACATATGGTTGATTTGTTATGAATTTTCAAAGTTTTGAAATTTAGAGGCTTGCTGTAGCGCCACCATCAGGACTATTGTCTTGTGTTTCCAGTTGAGGAATGATGGCATGATGGGACTGGACCTTTATGAAAAGTTTGGGTAGATTTCTCATATGGAAATGTTGCACGAACTGAGGCTTGAACTCACAATCTTCAACACCAAGAACCATCCTCTATCTCACTGAGCTAATTGGCAAACAGAAACTTCACATGTAGCTTCACAAATTGACTAAGCCAGTCACCTGTGTGCAAGACAGCAGCTGTTAATGTGTAAAGGCAGATTTCAAACGGCTGTCAAAAATTCAGTTATTAAGACAAAAATCTGAAAATACACAAATTGCATCTAGACAGCATGGAGATGTTGGTAATTTGTTTTTAACAATGATTTATTGGCTCCATAAGTGAAAAACTGATGTTTAAAAATGCCATTTTTGCATTGACTCCAGTTGTTCACGAGAGCGAAATTCAAAATGCTGTAAAAAATTCAGTTTTTGAGATAAAATTCTGATATTTTCCAAACATCATCTACCATGACTCCAAAATTTTGTAATTTTTTTAATGAACATCAAAAATGTATTTAGCAAGTATACCATCAGGACTATTGGCCTGTTTTTGCAGCTAATTATATGGACTTCCCAAACAAATTTAATGTCAACTTGTCATGACAAAGACATCTTCTGGTAATGTCACTTTGATTACTGTCAAGTTGTCATAATCAAGACAACCCAAACAACGTCAACTTGTCATTACAAAAACCGAATGACACTTAATGACAGCAGTCATAAACATTTATGACATGTACATAATGTTCATGACAGGTTCATGACCGTGTCATGACATAGTTATGACAGTGTCATGTCACTCTTGTGTAGATACCTTCAAGTAAATTGTTACCGATGTTTCTTATCTGATCTCACACTTTAATAATCAAATGAAGTGCATAAATGTTTATTAACAGGAAATAAGAACACAGGCGATAACCAGATACAGTGATGAATACCATGTATGTAGCACAAATAAATATCCATACAATGCAGCATCTACTACTACTTAATTTAGTTTTTTGACTTTTGTCTTGCTGCTTTGGATTCTCTCCTCCAGGTGCCTATTTTTTTCTATCATTCTAACTTTTGTTTTTATCCATTGTGACTTCCTACTGCATTACCAGAGAAACCAGAGCTTGAGTACAAACAGAATGTTAACAGCATCTGTCATTTGAGTTACAGCTTAACGCCTAATCTTTTGTCACCTAACAGCCCTGATAACGCCGTCAATGTTCTTTGTCTTGCCAGTAGTTCGTTAAAGATCACAGTTAATCTGGCCACTAGAAAAAGGAAGTCAATCATTGCAGCCTGCGTTTACTCTTTTCATAGTGATACCACTTCTTGGAAAGCCTGGACACACCTTTTACTATATATTTAACGGGATCAAGAAAAAAGTGTTGCAAAAAGTTTACAAATAAAACCTTTTTATCACAAGAAAAGAGAAATGTAAGTAATGAGGAGCTTGACAGAGAATGCTCATCAGTATGCTACAATAGCACAGTATATTGGAGAAAAATATAAAGTTTAATGATTTACAGTGTCTGATATTACAGCCAGGTGGCAGGCAGAGTTTCACTGCATCGTTCCACCGTTCAAACACCTTTTGTTCTTAAGTGGGTGTCACGTTCAGACAACTAAAGGTGTGTCTCCAGGCTTATGGTGGTTAAGTTGCAAGATGTAAGTGTGAGCAGCTGTGCATGTGTGTGTGTGTGTGTGTGTGTGTGTGTACGCAATGTCATGGTTGGTGAATCTAACGGATATAGTACAAAGTCCACAACACTCAGACCTAGAGGCCTAAATGTTTGGCTGTGTTTTTGTCTTTGTCATCCTCTCCCCCGAGTTTGTTTATCTTGATTTTGCGAAGAGATTAGCTTCTCCATAACTGTCAGAGGTTGACTGAAACAATATAACCACTGTGATATGCAAAGCAGCCCCAATGAGAACTACTCGAACCAGACTTACCTCTTTAAAACATTTGAAACACATTTTGTTTCCCTGTATGCAAAATTCAGGCACATGGTGTTCCTACAGTCACTGACAGACACGGACACAAATTGCATGCAAGCGGTTATGTGTAGACAGACCACCTGTGCAAATTAAGTGCCTCACAAATATACTACTATGGAAACCGCTTATACTGATCATGGTTAGTGATTGTATGGATCAAAGAGCTTGGGACAGAAACATTCCTGTACAAATGCTGTTTAAATATTTCGCTTATAATAATCAAGTAATTCGCTTTGCACTTACAGTGTCATTTGGGGTCTTTTCATACACAACAACATATGAAAAAACATTTAAACTATGGTAATTGAATTTTTTTTTTTAACTTTACTCGCATGAGGAAAGCATCTGCGGTTGAAGCCACCTTCGTCAAGGGGATTGATAATGCCCGGTCACGCAATGCCTGCTTGAGCATGCTTTTGGTGAGGGTGAAAGCACAAGACTTGGCAACGAGCCTGGGAGAGGACAATTCCAAGGTTTCCATAGGCTGGTTTGAGTGATTTAAAAAGCAAGAGAACATTGTGTTTATGGAACTGCATGGAGAGGCTGCTAAGGCTGACACGGTGACATGCGATGAATGTCCTGAGGAGCAGTGGGGACAGATGAGGCAAGAATACACAGAGGAAAACATTTAGGATGCAGAGAATGGAATTTATTTTCAAGTACCTGACGGTAATTTGAAAAGCGCTTGGAACAGCTGCATTTTAAAGCAGTCAATAAAATCTAGTAAAAAGCAAAGCCGTCCGTTTTATTGCTTTATATTCACGTGATAAATATACAAATGTAAATTCAATGGTAATCTGCATAAGAAACAACAAAAAAAAATTTATAGCTGCTGCACAGCAATGGTCGGAGCTGGGCAATTTTAGGCAACTTTAGGCAAATCTGAGCAACAAGAGGCAGAATAGGAAGACAACAAGAAAGTTACCATTACAATGTACCAGAGATGGGGACTCGAGTCATTGTGACTTGGACTCGAGTCGACTTGAGTCGCTGTTTTGATGACTTGTGACTTGACAAAAAATAAAAGACTTGAGACTTGACTCGGACTTGGAAGTTAAAGACTTAATAAATTAATTTAAAAAATAATGTTGATTACCCGGTAGGAGCGCAGGCTGAGAATGGCGTTGTCATGATTGGATCACTACCCTGTCATGTCCTCTCTACGTACCTTACGAGTTTATTGGAGAAACAGGCCCTCTTATATCAGATAGGCATGTTTTTTAATTTATTTGCTAACATTAACCCCAGAAAACGTGAGCGAACATTCCGACCGGTTCATCACAAGACTGGCTGTACGTTTTATGAACGAGCAACACAGGGTTAAATGAGCTAAATGGGTGATTTTGGCTGCTGCCTTAGTTAGTGTGTGTGTGTGTGCGCGCACACACACACACACGAATGGGGGTCGTCCCTGCAAAGTAAACATTACAGCGATGAAGTCAGTGTTTACTGACAGTTACTTATATCTTGTCTTTTCACTTTATTAAGATCAGATTCTGCAGGTAAAATTACAATAATAAGGTGACTTGACTTGGACTTGACTTGATCTATTACAGGACTTGCCTTGACTTGACTTGACTTGACATAACCTGTGACTTGACTTGACTTGCCTTGCCCAAGAAAAAATGACTTGGGACTTACTTGAGACTTGCACATGTGTGACTTGGTCCCATCTCTGCAATGTACATCAGTTGAGACTTGTACTCATGATCTCTGACACCAAGGAGCATCTTCTATCTGACTGAGCTAATTAGCAAGTGACAACTCGTCCGTGGCTTCACAAATTGACTAAGCAAGCTACCAGGATGACAGCAGCTGTCCAGGCAGATTTCAAACGGCTGTCATAAATTCAGTCATCAAGACAAAAATCTGAAAATACATATTGCATCTAGACAGCATGGAGATGTTGTTAATTTGTTTTTAACAATGATTGATTTATTCCCTAAGTGAAAAACTGATGTTTAAAAATTACGTTTTTGATATAAAATTCTGATATTTGCGGAACGTCATCTACCGTGACTCCAAAATTTTGTCAATTTTTTTCATGAACATTGAAAATTTATTTAGCAAGAATTTGCAAGTATATGTTTACAGCACTGTTTACAGTTAAACATCTTGATACACTGTAGGCTCAGTTTTTGATAAATCAAAAATCTGTGAGGACAATTTGTGAAGGACAGTCTGAAGATGCTTTGTAGTAAGTTTGGTGTCAATTGAGCAAAAATTGTGGGAGGAGATACGTTTAAGAAGTTAAGTTAAGAGTGATGGACTTCATAATTTGCAATAGGTTTAAATGTACAAAAGTTTCTTCAGCATTGGGGCTACATTTTGGTGAAAGTTGCAAAGCTGTAGCACGTACGCTCGATTTGTTGTGAATTTTCAAAATTTTGAAATTTAGACACTTGCTGTAGTGCCACCATCAGGGCTACTGACTTGTGTTTGCAGCTGAGCAAATCTGCCATAGGACTGGACCTTTGTGCAAAGTTTGGTGATTTTTCGCGCATGTGAAGTATGGTTTCCTCGGAAGAAGAAAGAACAAGCTGGAAAACAAGAGGGTCCTGGCAGGACTGCCTGCCCGGCCCCTAATAAAAAAGAACTGTGATCACTATAAGAGGTTTCCACTGTAATATGAATTAAATTGCAGATGTCAACATTATGGCTTGCAAGGAGTAAAGGTTTGTTAATACCTAATCTATTTTAAAATCTCCTCCCATTCTCTTCTCATTAGAAATTAATATTCAAACTTCAACTGTCAAAACAAAAGCAAACATGTTCCCCAACAGTTAAAGGGAGGAAGCTGGTTTACATTTAGTTGCCTGGAATCACTGCACACCTCATATCAAGGACATTTTAAAACACTTTTCTTTGGTTTTATGCAGCCATAACAATATAGCATGAAGCTACTTTTAAACAGTTGTTATCAGATTAATCAAAATCACTGCAGAATCTCAAAAGCCACAGCAAATAAATCAGACGGGGAACCAATCGGAAAAGGACAGAGTAAAGATACACTGGGTTTAAGAGACATTCAGTACATGACCCACCTACTGTGAAGCTAAAACTGCATGCCTGCATGCATCTTTGCATGTTAGTTCATATTTTAGCTATAAATAAATTTCTATATTTCCTTTCATGACAATGCCAGACTGCAAAAATGATTAGCACTTTAATGAAATGTCAGAGCTACGTGCTAGCTGTTGGCAACTTAGACCCTAATGTGGCAGCAGTTGTAGCCAACAGGCGCTGGGTATTAGTTCCATATTTCTGGGTCTACAGGTCATGTGAGAACCATGCAGATGAGTGCGTGAAAGACTCACCTGGCAAAGATGTGCAACCATTCTCTAGAAGAGAGGCATGCATGAGAGTGAGAGAATGAGTGAGACGAAAAAGAGAAGAGTAAAAAATAAAACCAGTGAAGACAAAAGGACAGCAAACGTGTGTTTGGGGGGGGGGGGGGGGGGGGGGGGGGGGGGGGGGGGGGGGGGACGTTTCTTTTTAGGAGAAATGATGATGTTTGTGATGACACTGGTGAAAGCAAACGCCATTATAAAAGAAGGTGATATTCCCAATCAATAGATAGACACAAGTCAGCTGGGTATCTGCAGGTCTATGTTTGGCACTGCGAATGTCTAAATGAGCGTGCTAGCAGGAGACACAGTCAGATCTTAGGCAGCATTAGTACATTAGTACAGGTTTGAGACGTTAGTATGATTAGCATAAACAAACCAGAAATCGCACCAATTAGACTGCTGTGAAAAACACTGGAAGCCGCTACACGATGTGTCATACTAAACTGCATGCTAGTTGAATTTTGGGAATGCCTTGTGGCACAAACCAAGAGGAGGGTGGCGTTCTTTCAAACCAAACAAAACTAAATCTTTCTCACGATAGCAGATGGTGAAGTGGGTGAATCATCAACAGAAAAATCACTTTCATCATGATTATCCCCTTCAGCAAAGGTTATTTGGAACTGGTTCTGTGCCCATCTACATAGGAATTGGCACGCTGAAGATGACTGTGTCCTCTGCAGCTTCTCCTAAATTTTTCCACCTTTCTTAGCCCTACTGCTGTGTGTGTATCTATTGGATACTACAAGAAGAAAACTGTGATGATGACAGTAATGAAATGGGGCACAGGTAGAAGGAGGAGGAGGAGGAGGGGAGCAGGAGGAGCAGCAGCAGTGGGGTTACCTCTCGTTTAGCAAGGAGGACATTAGGGACGATGTGAGGGAGGCAGCGGCCCAGCATTAACATCACGCTCTCCTCACTGTCTGCTATGCGGGACACCTGGAAATGAGAGGAACGTTTAGTACTGTGTGCTGTCATGACATGAACGCACTGTTTGTAAGTGTGCATGAAAGTATGCTGACCTCTGCTCCCAAGCGGCTGTCGGAGCACATTCTGCAGAAGGACAGCAGGGCTTGCAGGAAGGCCGGGGATAGCTTCCTGCGACACCGCAAACAACAAGAGAGCAAAGAAAGAAAAAAAAAAAAGACAGTCATGACAGTCTTTACCACTTAATCTGTACTCCACAAGAACTCTGAAGATTGCCCTGACCACTGAATGATTGAGGACTGGACTGGATCTATCTGTCAGAGAGCCAGAGAGCTTAGTGCGGCCACACTTCTGTGTCACTGCTGTGTATTTCAGTGGAACTCAAAAAAATCTATGGATAGATGGAGCTTGGCTACAAGAAAATACAGCAGCACTGGGACCTGCTCAATAGCAGATGATGACTAACTGCATCTTGCCACTAATTTTTTGGAACTGTACGTGAATCTCATAAAGGGGAAATAAATGAGGGTATAGACGAAACACAGTATTCCATTGAGTGATGATTCACTAGATGTCAGTGCACTAAATATACCGCAGCATGGGTGGGATAGTGGGAAGAAATGTTGAGCAAAAGTCAAAAGTTTAATTCCCACCAGGGCTGCTATGTGTTTTGAGAAAAGTTACATTTTCACCGAGGAGGGCCGCCACTCGCCAAAAAGTGCTCTTGTGCTGTCCATTGTTGCTGCATAGGCTGATAACTACCTCCATCTAGTGGATGCATTTAGGAACTACACTGAGATGGGACGTGGCTTCAACAAGTTGGTACTGAGTACACTGAAAATCATTTCTGTATTCTGCCTCACAGCTACATTTATAAGGACTGAGTTAAAGAATCTTATCATCTTATATGTGTACCAAGACACACACCATAGACAAACAGAACATTATTGACACAAGGATTGCCAGTTTTTCTATTGTCTCTATCTCACCTGTTGGGCTGATCGAACTGGACAGGAGGCCGACTCTTAAGCTTATTGTGGGACTGTGGGTGAGGCTGTGATATGCTCTGAGCAGAGGGGGGGTCCGGTTTAGTTTCAGGCTCTGAAACACCCCGGATGTCCAGATACTGGCCGTTATCTGTCGGAGGCTGAGGGTAGGACAAGACTACGTTAGAATCAATGGGTCAAATGTTTGAAAAGTCCTCTGTCAAACTACACTGAGACATTTTAAATAGCTATTAAAGCACATCTGTGCATGACATAATCAAATTAAACACATACCACAGAGGGAGGGTCGGTGGAGGAAGTGATGGCGGTGGTGGAGGAGGAAGGATTGGATGTATTCTGGGAGCCCAAGTCCAGAGTGGCCGGAGGTGGGGAGGAGACAGTCCTCTTTAGTGTTTGAATCTCACTGTGCGGGAGTGGAAAGGAAACATGAGGGGACACGGTCAGAAAACACCACATAATTCTCATTGGTGAAGAAGTGAGTCAACGAGACAGAGATCCATCCAAAAGTAGTGGTAAAATTCATATTTTTCTGTAACCACTTATCCTGTTAACCTATCCAAGCTGACATTGTGTAAGAGGTGGGGTACACCCTGGACAGGTCTCCAGACTAACACAGGGCTGACACATAGAGACAGACAACCATTCACACTCACATTCACACCTACGGACAATTTAGAGTCACCAATTAACCTGCATGTCTTTGGACTGTGGGAGGAAGCCGGAGTACCCGGAGAAAAAGCCCAGATTAGAAAGAAAGAGCATGCAAACTCCACACAGCAGGGCTCCCCCACCCCACGTCAGAACCAGGAACCCTCTTGCTGTCAGGCAACAATGCTAACCACTGCACCACCGTGCCGCCTGTAAATTGCTTCAATTTATTTTGGATTGCGGTAGAGATAATTTGTCTGAATCTTAATAATTCCACATGGGAGGAAAATAGGTTCCACTAATGCATCAGGCCAGGGCTTCCTCTGTAATTTAATGTAGTGCTTGGGGGAAATTTCCATACTGGTTCTACCTCACTGGCTGTTTTGGTCACAGTTATGCTAATAATGTGGACAGAAGTGCTTTTCTCATGGACGCTTCTAGTGGTCGTGGTAAATGTTCTTGTCGTAATGGCACAGAACTGTTATAAATAGAAGAAACTGTGTGAGCACAATAGCATACTAACAGGGGTCATATAATTAAAGGGGAACTACGTCCATATTCAAAATTTGTACATGTTATTCATATGGTCTAGGACAGTGCAAAAAATATTAGTAAACATAAACCATTTTCCTAAATCCAAAAACTAGAGTCATAAAACTTAAATCTGTGATGTCACCAAGTATAAAGTTCGGAGCTGCTCCATAGTCTGCTGTCAGCTGCTCTTCATTAATCTGATCTGATCTGATGTAAAAAGAGGACGCAAGAGAGGAACTAAACTCCCAACTACAGACATTCAGAGAGAAGCTACAAAAGTCCTGAGAGCTGAACACAGAGACTTTTAAAAACGCCTGGGGGAGCAGGGGGGTTGTCAGGGGTTGGATAAGGTCTGCAAGATGTCAACGCTATCCGCTTGGAGGCAGGCGGCCGGCTTTTAGTCCATCTCTGGTGTGGCTCAGCACTCCTTAACTGATACTGGAAAGACAAATTGGCACGGCAAGCTTTGACTTGGTGCGGCCAAAGGTGGTGATGGAAAAAAGGTAATAGAAGACACTGAGAGCACACAGGGGAATGTTCTGAGTATGTAGGTACACTTTCTGTTTCAGAACATCCTGTGAGTCCAGAAACTCAGTCTCCCATTCATTGTCTATGGAGCAGCTTTAGAATTTATACCCCATGACATCACAAGTTTGAGACTTACTTCTCTGGCTTCTGGCTTTGAGAGACAGCAGTATTCTGTTTACAAATACTGGCTAGACTATGTGAGGCCATGGAAATAACATACTGGACTTCTTAATTTATTAAGGGGTATATGCTATTAATAAAGCATATAGCACAACTGTAGGCTAACTGATAAATGAGCACAAACATGCACTGACACACACCTCTGCAGTTTCTTGATCTGCTCAGCAAGGCTCTGCTTCTCATTGTTGAGGAGGCTTATCTGGTACTCCAACTCTTGGACGACTTCTGTCTGTTGCTATAGAGGGACAAAAAGATTATGCACACACTTTATTACCACAGTCAGAAGCTCAAGAGTTGGTACTCCAATAGGTCGAATCTCTTCATAACGGTAGTATCTCACACTTTATAGAAAGAAGCAGCCATTTAGATCCACAGCCTTTCACTGAAACAATGTGAATGTAGAGGGGGCAATTAGGTTTTTCATTATCATCATTGTAGCTCTGCAGACTGCGTCTTCCACTTTGCTGTGACGCGTCGAAGCATTTGACCTTCGGGGGAAACTGGCACTCTCTCTCAAAGAGTGTGTAAATGCACATGTTCAAATCATTTCTGTCCAATATACAACTTTAAAATCATGCAAATAAATTAAGTTTAAGAGTGAGAGCAAAAAAGACGTGTGTCTCTGATCATGGAGTATCCATCTCTACTTTGGCATAGCAGCTTTTGATGCAGCCAAAAGCAAATAACCTGACGGACTCACTCATTAAGGAAAAGCCAAAAGTCCAACATTACACCCATACATGTATGTGCACACAGACACACAAACCTGATGTGAGAGGTCAGGCTTCTTTGGGGGATCTTGGGCGATGCAGTTTCCTGGAAGATCGCCGAAATCCACGCCTACTGAAACATCAACCGTGTCCCGAGGAGAAGGGAGGGGGGTACCACAGTTCCTGTAGAGCTGTAACAGGTCGGGGGGTTTTGGGATGTTGAGGCCGACGTCATCCCACAACTCAAAGTCCTGGAAATAAATTTAAAAAAATAATTAAACAAAACTAATTTGTCTCAGAAGTGGGCTTGTCATCTGCATAGATAAAGCACCATGCAGGCTCAGAACAGGACAGCTGATTGGAGTTGCTGAATTTATTTATGGTCACATGACCCTACCATAGCTCTTAGACCAGTGCAGTTACAAGCCTGTCCACTTTAGAAAGACTTCGTATTAAGAAGCAGGCAGAAATTGAGGATAAAAAAAGGTTAACTCCATTCTGACATTTGTCATTCAGCCTTTAAAACATATAACAGCCATAAATTTTTTTTACCTGATCGTCATTCTCATCAGAGAAGGTGATGGATGAGAGTTTGTATTCGTTTTTTAATAAATATTCATTCACAAGGAAGTTTAAGGCTCTTTTCTCCAGTGGGCGTAAAGGCTCCTGAGACAGAGAGGAAAGAGAAGCTGTGAAATGATTTACTCAAACCTGGCAGTTATATTATCACGGGGGGTTTAAAGGAACACATTTAATCTCTCGATTCATTTGAGAAAAAGAAGAGGAATTCACAAATCTTTTCATTCTCGACGCTCAAAGATTCCCCACCTGAATTTCAGGACTCGACTTGAAGTTTTTTCTCTCCTGAGAGGGCACTTCGCTCTCTGAGAAAATTGAGAAGATTATAGATGAGTTTGACAGGATGCTGAGAGTTATTCATCTAGACGAATTCTCTTAAAACCAAAAAAAGAAAAAGAGAAAAGCTGTAACAAAAGAGGGTTCAGGTGGAGAAGAAGTTAAAAGTACGCCACACCTGCTGCCTGAGTCAAGTTGGCGCGCAGAGCCTGAATGGTCTCCTTTGCTTTCCGTAGCTCAAACTCCAGCACTGGACAGGAAGTGACAACACACACACACACAGGAAATGCATCCAACCAAAGACAGGGAACAAACAAATAAAACAAAGATGGGCATGAAAAACAAAACAACCACACAAAAGATTGTAAGAGTCATAAAACAAAACAAAAAGGATACATGCAAATCATGGGTCTAAGGAACGCATGCAGCAGAGGATCATGGTAAAGCCGGCTGGATGACAGTCTGTTTGATAAGTGTGTGTAAAGCATTGAGACACATCTCAATGGTAGGATTTCCTGCCCTCATATTCCTCCCATTAATAGCACTGATGTGACTGACTTAAAAATGGGAGTCCAAAGTTACTTTAATTGTAGCTGAGGTGAATAAATATATTCAAGCTACCGAGATGTAGCCTTGATAATCTAGGAGCTGTCTGACAAAGGATTTCTTTCCAGGCAAATGCCTAACTAACAAGTAATGAAATCATTTGGTTTCAAGCCACTCAAGGTCAGGTTTTTACTTCTTCTAGGCCATGTCTAGTCTAACAAACTATCAACAACACAATCTAGCTGTTTCGGACGTCTTACACAATCAGAAGCAGCAGACATTTGGGTAAAATTGTTGATTTGTGCATTGAAATTTGAAAGGCTAAACTAACACTGAGTAAAGAAAATAAACACACAAGATTCTTAAACACGCTAGATTAAAAACACACGCAAAAAGTAAGAAGCGATGGAGCAGGAAAACTATGTTGCATAGCTGTGCACTGAAAATCTGCCATCTGACGTGGATTGTGGTTCAACAAGTATTGTAGGAGGTTTCATACATAATATACCAGTATGAGACATCAGAGAGCAGATAAAAATATTCATCGCTCTTTAATAATAGTAATTTCATTGGTAAGGTCATTGTCAATTTTCTTTTTCCACAACTTTAAGAATACTAAAAAGAGATGACATCAACACATTCGTTGGACTATTTTGACCAAATCCACCCACTCTGACACCATCATCCCAAACCTATCCAGCAGATCAAGAGTGCACAGGATGCAAGCGCAACAAAATGGAAAACCAAGAACTGAATAACGGGGAGAAGGTTTAAAAAAAATAGAAAAATAAAAAAAGCAAAAAGCTAGTCTGGATGGAGTGACTTGTCCAGTATTGTTCACTGGGGTTTGATCAACGTCAGGAGAAAGCCAGAAAACCCAGAGTCAGACAGCTGGGGGCAGGCATCTTGGCGAGAAGAACAGGTCGTGGGGATGAGAGTAGGGGTCGGGTGAAGAGGGAAGAGAGGAAGGGGAAGGTGCCAATTTGATGATGAATAATTTGTAGTTGGGAGCATGGAACCAACATCTCTGCTGCATGGTTTTAACTGAGCCCTTACTATGCATTAATGTACAGTATGCTTTCATAAACTGGTAAAAGCCCCAAACCACAAGCAAGCTAGCTCATTCATTTCAGGTGCATCCACCTACTTCGCTTTGACCTTTACGAAATAGTAATTCTTGTTCTCCTCTCAGTATAGACATTACATCTACTGACATTTACTATTCAGGCATGTAAACAATCATTTAAGAATAAAAGAGGACACTAATTCTCATGCTTAGCAGTTGTGTACAGTACAGAGGGAAAAAACAATCTCATATGAAAAAAGAAAACACATAAAATATGCCACCCAATTGTGCACAAGCCCATAATGCAGTTATGGACCGGGGCTTTTTAGATCTCATTGACTTAACACTTACCAACCGAATGGGTGGATGACTACAGAAAGCTGGCAATGGACAATGGTAACCACTGTGCTGTGTGTGCAGGGCTAAAAAGTAATGTTTTCATGTTGGCGATTATAAAATAGAAAGATGAAAGCAGGAGGCAGATTAAGTGAACATAATACGATTAGTCCCCTGCGTGACAGCACTGTCCCTTTCTGCAATACTGTTAAAGTAAAAGGCTTACTCATCTGTTTGTTTTCCTTTTGTCGACGCAGCATTAAAATTTTTTTTTACTCATCATCATCACACAGTATCTGAAAAACAACAAGCTGCTCGTAACTGAGCAGCTGCTCTTAAAACCAGCATTCTGTGATGAGGCGCCATCGGCGTTAGGCTCAACTGTTAATGTACTTGGCTAAAACTATCTATTGAGTGTGTCACGACGGAGCCACAGGGGGAAAGGGGTGTGATTTCAAACAATGCTGAGACAGGTCCTGTACCAAAAATACCTCAGACTGACTCAACAGTGTGAGAGGTGATGGGAGGAGGCTCGAACACCTCTAGCAAGTTAAAGAAAGAAACATACTGTACTGTATGTTGAAAGTGGAACGTGTGGACAAAGATCCAAGACTTTTGCTATTCTGTTGATTAGCTTTAGCTCTACCTGTCTATTTTAAAAACTTTATGGCAATAAAACATGATAATAATATTAAAACACAGTGACACTATTGTTTAGTGTGAATTCTGACATCTAATGTGTCAAAAATAAGCTCCTTATTTGGGCATCACTATGAAAGCAATATCAAAATTAATACATACTTCAGTTTTGTGGTGGCTTGGAAAACACTGACATCACCATTATGCAGGCTTTGATGCAGCTGTCAGGTGTTATTCTCTTTGTTTCCATGCCACCCTCCCTTTCTACCATTGCCTATTCGGCGATTTTTTATTTCCCCCGAGGTAAACCAGGTCTCTTTGCTTTGAGCCCTGACAGCACGGTTCATCTTACCTGCCACCCGCTCGTCCGACTCTCGGTTGCCGTCATCTGAGTAACGGGCGAAGTCCAGAGAGTCTAAGGTGCTGATGCTGCCGGCTCGGTCTGAACAGAGACACAGAGACAAAGACAACAATCAGACATGTATACAATACACACACTTAAGAGTCCACTGTCATGCAGTTTGCAGAGCTTAGAAATGTGACGATGCAGTGATACTTGAGAAATGGACAGGGTCAGCTACACAACAGTAGCCCCGCTGCGGTAGGGATTTAGTATTTTGCACTCTCTTAACCAGTCTGGAAACATGCTGACACTGGGCTTGAGTTACAGGAAGGTGACTAACCACTAGCCCAATCTCCTAAAAAACAGATGGAAACTTTATTAAATTCAGCTAAAAGCAGAGACCTTTAAAAGCTATGTGGGAAGGTTATACTTTAGCCAAGAAACATATGAGTCACTGCACATGTGGGAAAACAGATCAATCATAAAATGTTAACTTCTCAGTTAATGGAAACGCCAGGTTTCCAAACTAATACCTCCAAACAACAACCTTACATCTGCGTAGGGATGCCAAAAGTATTCACTCAAAACATAGATAATGCTGATACATAAGCATACTTGTGCTCCTATTTCACTGAGGTATGCTGACCTAGTAGCTCAGCCAATGGTGTTAGTTTTCCTCCACCTCAATACAAGTGCAAGATTGGACTATTTGTTCTCCGATATCAAGATACAGTGGAAGGTCAATCCAAATGTGGCGTGTTTACTAGCTTTAAAACCATGGCTTGTTTTGCAGGCTCAATACTGTGACTCAGAGACCATGTGAGTAATGACGCCAATATTCATTGTTGGTGCAGCAGTGGATATTTTGATTCGGCATTTTATCTTGAGTAAAACCATGCACTGCAGGTCCAGACCTTTGGCTTTAAGGCTACATTAAAGGCAAGGCACATTCAAAAAAGAACCACTGGGTCTTCCTCAATTAGCTGACATCCATTAGTGACCTTGATTTTTCTGGCCTTGATCTGAGAGTATGGTTTTGCCTGGGTATGATTCACATCAATTTACACTTGCCTTGCAAACATACATGGTCAAGGTCATGGTCTTTTCTTTTCTGAAAAAAAAAATACCCTCTGAGTATATTACAACTTGATATTATTCAAATGACCTAGACCTTTCAAAAGGGAAAAGAAGAATGCTGCTTTAATAGTCAGAGCAAGGGAGAATGTCAAAGGAAGATTAATGTGTGTGTATGTATAACACTCGACAAGAAATGTGTCTTTCTTTAAATACTAGATGTTAAAGAGAAACTTCGGTATTTTTCAAACTGGACTCTACTTTCCTATGTTTTTGTGTCTAAGTGATTAATGGAGACAACAATGTTTGAAATTGTTTGAGTGTTGAGAGAGATTTACTGGTCCATCTACGTCCAAACCCTCACCTATGGTCATGAGCTCTGGGTAGTGACCGAAAGAATGAGATCGCGAATACAAGCGGCCCAAAACAGTTTCCTCCATGGGCTGGGCTAAGTCTTATAGATAGGGTAAGGAGCTCGGACACCAGGAGGGAGCTCATCCCACTGGTAGGAGGCCCCGGGGCAGACTCAGAACACGCTGGATTTGGATTACATATCTCATCTGGCCTGGGAACGCCTTGAGGTCCCCCAGGAGGAGCTGGAAAGCGTTGCTGGGGAGAGGGATGTCTGAGGCGCTTTGCTTGGCCTGCTGCCCCCTCAACCCGGCCCCGGATAAGCGGATGAAAATGGATGGATGGATGAGAGAGAGCGACGAAAAAAGCTGCAACGTAATCCCTATGGGCAATTGCGCACCATCAAGTGTGTGTTTTTGCCACTGACAGGCTCAAATTGTTATCAGGAGTGTCTGACAACATTACAGAAAGGACCCTAGAAGTCTCGTTCCGAAATCTCACGAGAGGTGACCTGTTGCAGAAAGACAACAGTGGAAATGTAAGTGAGAATTCAAGAGAGGAGTGCCAGGACTAGTGTGTGGTGCTGGAGTACGGAGGGCAGCTTATTGTTGTCTTTAAGATATTCAGTGTCATGGCTGAACATTTAGCTGATTTCAACAATGTGGAAAAGTCCGCCAGATTTCAAATGTGACTACTCCTTGTATGAGACTTAGTTACACACACTAACAAACAGACCGGATCAAGCGAAAGGTAAGAAAAACAAATCCATTTCTCTGTGTGGTTTGTAGGGATAGACCGATATGGATTTTTTAGGGCCGATGCCGATACCGATTTTTTTCCATCACCCTTAGCCGATGACCGATTATGGACTGCCAATTTTCTTGAGCCGATATTTGGGGCCGATACTGCTTTTGCTCCCTCAATTTACATCAAAAAAAAAATGACACAATGATAACAAATATTACAGGTCTCAAGTTTAAAATAAGAAACATTTATTGAACAGTAAAAAATACTAAAACAAGATGGAAAGCGCCTATCAGCCGATGCAAGTAAAAAACTCAAATATCGGCCCGATATATCGGTCTATCCTTAGTGGTTTGTTCTGCAATGTTGTCAGACACTCATAATAATCTTAGCATGTCAGTGGAAAAACAAGCTCTTTTAATGGACATAAGTTCATGGTGCACATTTGCCCTTTAGGGTTACACTGTAGCCTGTTGCTGCCGCTGTGGCAGCAGTGGTCTCTCTCAAAAAAATTGTTCCCATTAGTCACTTAGACACAAAAACATGGGAAAACAGGGCCCAGGTTTAAAAATACTAAAGTTTCCATTTAACAACCTTAATTTGGGGGATAAAAGCATATAAAGTAAATGCTTATGGTTGGTGTGGTTGTGTGTGTGTCACATGTTCGAATGTATGACCATGTGGCTCCAAAAAGCACACACACTCATTTCAGTGAGAGTTTTTCTGAAATGGCTGTGAGCGTGACAGTGTGTGTGTGTCATTCTATCATGCTAATATCAGTTTAACCCCTTTTCCTGTGGGTAACACTTCCAGCGGTCCTTACTTCCTGATAATGTGTGAGGATGTTTGCTGCATTGGGTTTGAAATCTGTTTGGTGAATCAGTGGATAAATAGGGGTTTGTATACATGTGCACGTGTGAGAAAAACCTGCAATTCTACAATGTGCTAGAGTGTGCATGGATGTCTTTTGTGTGTGCGCCTAATTTGCAAAAAAGCGAGTATTTCTTCCTGGCTGACCTTTCAGTTCTGTGCCTGTGGCGTATTGTCTGGGCTGTGATAGATCTGACACTTCAGACTGTCACTTTCTCACTGCACTCCTGCCGGGCAGCTTGTGACAGACACACACACCACACACACACACAAATCCACTCACAGTCTCCCTCTATGCTCTGGAGTACATGAGTGTCACCATCTCACATTCAATCACAAATGAGCCTTTATTTGAACGCTGAATGAAAGAAACTCCTTTGGCTCACTGGTAGTTTGTATTGAAAATACTTATCTTACAAAAACTATTGGAAGGCCAATGAAAGCTTCTTAGAGAAAAGAAAGAGGAAAAACAAACATGATGAAAGGGATTTTTTTCAATGTATAAAAAAAAGCAGATAAATTGGAGACAGGGAGAGGAGCAAGAGTTTAGTGTGAGAACAAAGAGATACATTTAAAAAGAGCCGAGACAAATAAGCCAGGAGACAAGAGAAGACGGATGGTCAGGCGGTAGCCAACAAGCTATTTTAATGGGAAGGATGTTTTGGCAAGACCATCAGCCATTACGAAAATATAAATGGGATGACACGATGGGGAGCAAATTATAAAGGACGCTCAGGCAGACACACAAACCTGTGCCAACATTCCTCTCACAAAATCAAAAGTATGACAATGTATTCAATGAAATATAACAATGAATAAGCCTGTGTATAAATTGGGCATGCTTGTCAGCACGCTATCTGCAAACATGACTTCCATGCATGTATCAGATAGCAGATAGGTAACAAATCGGTGTGACTAACTAACGGTGGTAATTCACAAATGTGGAAAGGTTCCACACAATAATAACCTGTGTTGCTCCATTGCTGAGAAATCTGCACTTCTACGCGCACAGAACCACCTGCATTCATTCGCAGAGACACACACAGCTAAATGAAAGGCAGTGTTATGAACAGTCAGGCAGCCGGTGCCGGTCCAGAACTACGTGGAGCCTAGCCAACACTCCAGCAATATCATTAATCGCCCTCTCCCACAACAGCAGCTCCCCACCCCAGACATAGGAAAGGATGGAGAGACATTATAAAGTGTGGAAACATGAGAAAAGGAGACAGTGCATGTCAGGTTGGACCAGGCGGTGCTCCAAAGGAAAGGGAGAGGTACACATAGTATTGTGTTTGGTTGACCTGGATTGCCAGTGTGCTAACTTTACAGATCTGTAACAGGAAGGCATATAAATAGTGGTTACAAACAACCTTACTTAGAACTAATGAGAAGCTACTACTTTACCAATGTGGAGCAGGAGATGGTAGGTGCCTGCAACTACAAATTTAACTGTCAGATCCATGTCCTGACATTATACAGACACTTTCTGGTATTATGTCTTATGTGGCAAACCACACCATCTTCTTAAATGTGGCAGCTTACCTTCAACCTCATGCATGGCAACCCAAGTGACTCGCATGCTACATCAATACGAGCAAATAACTACCTGGATACGCGATGAGGGATGGAGAGAGAATCGTTCATGCTTGCTTGCTGCTAATTAGCAAGGTGGTGAGAGATGCCTTGCTTTGCCATGTGGCTTAGAGCAACAGCTGCAGATATGAGGCTGCTTGAAACACATTCATTATCCATACATATGCTCAGTGAAATCAACTGCTTACAGCGAACACTCACTATGTGTTTGGGTGCTTTTAGATTATCAGAAGAATACGAATCATTATCAAATACCTGAACAAATATAATAGCACTATACAGTCTAAGCAAACTATCATCACACTCAAATGATGTACCACTTCTTGTATAATGCGTTTGACTAGCTGGACTCCTATCTGTGTGGTTATCATGCTGTGACATGCAATCATATAAAACCCCATGCATCCTTTCAACATTTTCTGAAGGCAACAAAATGTGCAGGCCAAATTTATTTATTTATAAGTGCATCAAAAGTATAGCTTTTTTCTTTAGTAGGGTGTGCAAATCACATTGCCAAAACAAGGCATTGAAAGAGTTGCTATTGTTTGAAAAATCATATTGGAAACTGGCTGCCAAAACATCTTGCTGCTATATTGACAACAGGAGACATTTGATCGGTATCCCTCCCTCCTCAAACATGAGGAAAAAGATCATTCCATTGATCACATGAGGTCTTGGTCATCAGATTATACTGGAAAGAAAAGTGGCATTGTCTTGAGTCCATCGCTTTCTCCGCCATCAACTACCATCGACCGCTTCATTTTTTTCCATCTACATTCTGTACAGTAGATAAGACTTATCAGGAATCCAGGAATCCACATTCTTAAGAAACCTTTAGTCTTACCAAAAGCTAATAAGGCTGAGATCACTGTTTCTCCATGCCTTTCCTGCCAGTATCACAACAGGGGTGCTGTCAAGTCCTGTCATGCTTTTTGAAGACATCCTCATAAAACATTTATTCTGATGCTGTGCTCCAAACCTTTCGGAGGTTTGTATGATAATGCAACCACCAGACCTTTGCAACCAACACACTCAGCTCACAGTTGTTTGCTGCTGTGGTCTCTGAAACCCATATAGAAAGTCAGTCTACACAAATATTTAATCCTGCAGGGTGGGGTTTTATACTGACAGGCAAGTGTTGCAGTGAATCTGACTGGCTGTCATCTGCTATCTACTAAAGCTAACCTCAGGCTAACTGTCTTGACCCACACTCAAGACTATACAATAGTTGCCTGAGACATCAGGCTATTGTCCATTGCTACTGAATCCAAATGAGGAAAAATAAATCATCTGGTTATAAAACCAGATCCTCTCTTTTTATAGCATTTATTTATATGCTGTGGGTCCCTCAGCTGGAAAACTGCCAAATGTTTATACAATGAAAATTCATCATCTCGGCCTTGTTGCTCAGCCTGAACCAAAAATATAAAAATTACAGTTGCAGCGCCGCCATCGTGATATACGTTACATATTGTGAGGCCTTCGGAAATGCATAGGAAGGAAGATATTATGGACTGAAGCGCTGCCTGAAAAGAAAAGAGAAATAAAGTATTTATTTAGAGCCTACAGTGTGCGGATCTCCTTTGTGACCATTCGGAAACTAAGACACTGATTTGAATCCTGGAAGTGATGGGAAGGAAATCCTCAAATGATTGACCAAAATTACACTGCACATCTCCAAAAAAACTGACAGGAAACACAGCATTTCCAATTCACTCTGCCTTGATACTGACTGCATGCACCGCAGCCAATTTTGGCACATACTGAAAGCAATATTCATTTTGTTAATTTGACACTACAGTCTAAGTGGCAAATCACATCCACTGGTGTGATATTGCACTAAGATTATCGACAAGATACAGGGAACATCTGCTTTCATGGAGAGTGATTAATGAATATAATTTTAGTGGCAGGTAAAGGGGGGAGGACACAGTGAAGATCTGTTCAGTTATGTTGAATAAGCGCACTGAACAATGGATACAGGTTTAAGTACATTCAATTCACAGCTAACAGTGCTTCCTGCTTGTGGGTCTCTTGATTGTTTTAAAGATAAGGTGGGTGGGTAACCATCCATATGGGTCACTTACATTGTTCCTGTCCTTTCTCTCCTGGATCTAAGATAAATATGCTTTGACAAGATAGATCCAATCTCTGCAGTGGAAAACACCAAGCTGAGTTATTTTCATTAAAACCTAAGAGTCATTAAAGGGATCCAATTTAAAAAATGTGCAGATCACTTTCAAGTCACATACAATCCCCTAATAGTTCATACACTTATACAAGTCTCAGGGTGTATTCTTTTTACATTTCTAGCTGTCTTTGAATGTAGCCACTTTGCTTCTTTTACACCAGAGGCAGCGTTATGGTGTCTTATAGGTCTGTGTTAACTGTGAATAGATTTGCTCCACTCACCTCAGTGAAATGCAACCATAAGAAAAGGTTTTCTCAATCACATTCCTTTCAATGCCAAGCTCCTGTGCTTTGCTACAGACACTTGAACTAAAGTTTATGGTAATACTACCCCTGTTGCTCTACAGCAGGCTTTATGTATTTGTGGCCTGGGCTGTCACCGTGGTTACAATTTGCATTGCATGTTTGTTTGTTTGTCCAGACATGTCATTCACCACACACAGTAATACTGCAGGTTATTCCCATACAGTCAGTGCTGTAAGTGGATGTGAATGCTACAGGTTTACACCCTTAGACAATAAACCAAAATAATATTTGTCTCCCTGATCTATTAAAACATCTGATACAAAGCACAAATAAGGTACTGTCATCGTAAGCAAGAGGATGTGGATTCAAATTAAATTCAGGTTGTATCCTCTTTAGCGAAACCATGACCTCCTATGCAAAAGCAAAAGCAAAATATACAAGCTGTCTCTACTCCTGTTGGCTTTTTCCTGTGAGCAGCTGATCCTGACCTCTGACCTCCCTCTGCCCTAATGAAATGTGATGTATTTCCCTTCAAGACTCAATTGCATTAGGGTGATTCTTATAGGCCTGTCTTGGTGTCACTCTTCCATCTCATCCAGCTAGGCAGTGAGGTATAGCATCACATTTCTGTGATGATGCAGTGTGTATGTCAGCCAACACAGATCACACACGACACCCGCCTGTTGGCCGTGGGCCCTGAACCAGGAGGGCAGGTGCAGCAAGCGGATAACATTATCTCATGATCGATTGGCTTCCACATCCAATGTTTTAAGCTAACGTTAGCTAGCCAGTGGGCTAACTCTGCAGCATGCAGCAGTACAGACAGAGCTAACTTAGCTGACAGCTACGTGACTAGCACTGGGAGCAGCTAACGTTACTTACTCAATGGTCCTCCGGGTCCGAGTACCTGGTCCTTGGCAGGCGGTGTGCCGCTCTGTCGCTCGAAGTTGCCCGGGTTAGAGAAATAATCCCTCAGCCTCGGGAGCTCTCTGCCTGCTTCCAACAGTTCTGTGTGAAACTCCAGGGCCGTGAGAATATATTGGTCCCGTAACAGCTGAGCGGCGATAACATCCACTGATATCCGTGTCTCGGCGGTGCCTGCCATAGCGGCGGTGGCCGCGACCGAGCCCGAGCCCTCACCGCTGGGGCTCGTCCGGTTGCTAGACAGCAGAAGCGTTGGAGGCTCGGCGTCCGCTGGCGGAGAGAAAGGATTACCTGGTGGCGGCCCCGGTGCCCCGTCACTCGGGCTTCTCTCTGTGTCAACTGTTTCATTGGGGCGCCGTTCAGCCTCTTCCTCGGAATCACTGAGATTAAACGGGTTGACCGACGCCATTTTTGCACTATAAAGATTTTTAGCTAGCTAAGCTAATCAGAACCGCTTCTTCCTGAATGGATAGTAAGGCTAGCTATGGTTTGGTAGGTGGCTTTGATAAGGGGGAAAAAATGCGAAGCTGTGATTGGTCAAATTGGAGAGACGTTCCCTCAAAGCCCGCCCCTTTTATGGAATAAAGGAAAATGATTGGCTAATGTCGAGACAGAAAGGAAAACTGGGCAGGGCGCATTTGACAGCTGATAGCTAGCTAGCTAATGTTTTATCAAAGAAAAATGAGGCAAATGAAAATAATGTTTTCCAGCGAAACTGCTCCGTAACACATATTTTAAGATAATGCGTCGCAATTAGTTTTTTTATAAAATGTTTTGCGTTTGGCGAAAAAAAAATGTAAAAGAAAGCTAGCTCAATACATGTTAACTACAGTACCCACAATTCCGCTGCAACGTACACACGTCTACGTAAACCGTCAGTCACAACACGGAAGTGGCTGCTCATGCTACCTGAATTTCTTGTACTAATCTTCTTATGTAGCAAGACGGACAGTTGGTTTCGTAAAAGGACGCACGTAAAGATTACGTGGATCTTGTTTCGTACAACAACGCCTTAACCAGTCGGATTTTCTGGACATGTAATCGGTTATCTACGAAGATCAAATGGGATCTGAATCAGGTGAACGGGCGCAATGACTGTAGATTGTTCTGCCCTCCTGTTCATTCAAAAACGAGACAGCGTCCCCCGTTTCTATGGGCAGATCCCTCTGACATTACGCACAGGTAATTATTTTTGCATGGCCTAAAGATATGACTGCTTTATTTTAAACAAGCTTCAATAACTAGTGGCCCATTAGGTGACTTAACACTGGAATGTACCCTAACTATTAAAGTCATTTCTGCACCATGCACCTAATGGCATATGGTGACTGATGGATTACCCCTGCCCTTAAGCAGTCCTTTACATGGCACCCATTCTAGCTTATCAAGTCTATATTATACTAAACCTTTCTAAAACCTGCTTCTACATTTGAACTAACCTCTTAATCCTGAACTGTATGACTTAATGTTTGCCCATAGTCATTTTCAGTATGTCTTTATTTCTATGTCTCCTTCCTCTTATCTTCTTTCTCTTGCAAACACAATCAATCTTCCTTCCTGCCCCGGTTGCTCTGCAGACCCAGCTCGGCATTGACACTCAAAATGCGGATGATCACCTTCTTCCTGGTTGGACTGACAGTCCATGTGGTCTTCTTCCTCTCCATCTTTGATATCTACTTCACCTCTCCCCTGGTCCATGGCATGACCCCGCAGGTCACACCGCTGCCACCCCCTGCGTCCAGACTGGTGTTAGTGGTGGCCGATGGTCTCAGAGCAGACAGTCTCTTCACACTCCTCCCAAACGGCTCATCCAGGGCCCCATACTTGAGGTTAGGAAACCGGTACAGAGCACACCACATTAAAGCTCAGAAGCTTTTATGTGGTGTGCCTGTCTCTGTATCAATTACTCCAGTACAAGTGTTATTCTGGATAGTTTTCTTCAGTGCTTTGCAACTCCTCATTAGCTGGTGTTTGTGTGTGCACATCTGTGTGTGTTTCCCGATATCAGGAGGGTGATGGAGGAGAGTGGTACCTGGGGTGTATCACACACTCGCGTGCCAACTGAGTCTCGCCCTGGTCATGTTGCTCTCATCGCTGGCTTCTATGAGGATGTTAGTGCTGTTGCTAAAGGTACAGAAAAGGCTACGTGAAAGATTAATAACTTGTGATACTGTTATATCTGTTTGTGAATGCAAGTGCAATGACCTTTTGTGTGTGTGTGTGTGTGTGTGTGTGTGTTCAGGGTGGAAGGAGAATCCTGTAGAGTTTGACTCAGTGTTTAATGAGACCAGACACACCTGGTGCTGGGGCAGCCCTGATATCCTGCCAATGTTTGCTAAAGGTATACAGTTACACACAACACAATCAGAACCACCAGCCTAATCAATATAAAAGCAAACAGTCACAGATAAAGTCTGTATCAAAAATCAGAAATTTAAGCTCAGTAACATTGCATGCTGTGGTTCTTCCAGGTGCCAGTGGAGACCATGTGTATACTCACACATACCCAGCACAGGAGGAGGACTTTGCATCCACAGATGCCTCCAGGCTGGACAGCTGGGTGTTCACTCAAGTCAAAGTATGGTAGTGGAAGAACTAATGATAATCATGCATGTTGTGATGAATCTGTTGATAATATGTAATAATTAAGTCATAGAATTTTAGATAAATTACTGGCTTGTGTAAAACCCATCTCTCTACTTTCATATTGTCAGTTATTGCAGCAAGGGTCACGGGTTGTTATAAAGTTATGTTTGTTGTTGGTGGTCACATAATGCATTTTCATGTCGCAAAATGTGAAGCCACGTGGAGTCATTACAATAGCTTTTAGTACATCTGCTACAAGCCTTCCTACAAGACTCCCTTGTTGCTATCAGTGAGGATTTGCACATTGCTAGCTTGACTGAATCCATCTACCACTTTATTTTTCTTCCCACACTAGTCATTCTTTCAGTCAGCAAAGTCTAACTCCAGTCTGAGGGCCAGTCTGCTTGAAGATAAGAACGTCCTCTTCCTGCATCTGCTGGGCATCGACACAAACGGACATGCTCACAGACCAATGTCAAAGTAAGAGAAACGCTATTAGGATTTGTTGTCGTCTGATTGCACTTCAAAAAACCTAGGTAGTGATATCTTTATCTTGTATTTGTCTAGGGAGTACTTAGATAATATTGGTCTAGTGGACACTGGTGTAGCCGAGTTGGTGTCTATGGTAGAAGACTTCTTTGGTCATGATGGCAGAACGGCCTATGTATTCACCTCCGATCACGGCATGACAAACTGGGGTAAGACTCTTGTTTGTGTATATGTGCAATAAAAAAATCTGTTAATCAGCATATGAATTCACTGGAGTATTTAATATCTTCTGTGTGTCTCCAGGTTCACATGGTGCAGGCCATCCCTCTGAGACACTCACCCCTTTAGTGGTGTGGGGAGCAGGGGTTCATAATGCCCACAAAGTTACTATACCCCAACCGTACAATGATAGCTTCCTACAAGGTGGGTGCTAATCTCATGTACTCGCTTCTGTTTCTCAAGCAGGTGTTTTTAGCTTTAGTTTAGGACCCAGGTTCCTCTACGCCCACTAAAGACGATTTCAAAAATACATATATTATTGGGCAGAGTGGAATTTAGTTTTTTATTTGCATTTTTCGCGTCTACGTCGTTGTCATGATTTTTATCCCTGCTGTCTCTCTCAGATTGGAATCTGGAGCACCTTCGGAGAGTTGACGTCAATCAGGTAAGGCCCGTGGCCACTGTCATCAATTATTGCCATGTAATATAAAATGCCAAAAAGCAGTGATATGACACAACAGCAGTAGTAAACTGAAATATGATCTATTTTTTCGTTGTTTTCTGCAGGCAGACATCGCTCCCCTCATGGCTTCTCTCATTGGTGTGCCCTTTCCTGTCAACTCTGTGGTAAGTCCAGAAAGGACAAAAGAAACGTTCTAGTCATTTTCATCCTGCAAAGTTGAATCTAAGTGTTCACGGCTTCACTGAAGTTGTCGAAAAGGGATTTTAAAAGTACAAAAGTGTGTGTCCACCTTAATGTGTATTTGTGTCTCTTCAGGGTGTGTTACCTCTTCTCTACCTTAACAATAGTGACCAGTTCAAGGCAGAGAGCATGTACACTAATGCTATTCAAGTACTGGAGCAATACAAGGTATGAAAGCATTCAACTCTGCTATTACTGATGTGCTTCATTGTTGAACTCAAATAAATATGTAAATATTAATAGTGATAAATAAGCAACAATATTGTCAGTTGGAAGTATACGACCAGTCAGATGTATTTGATTCATACCGATAACTTCCAAATGATAGATTTAAACACTGTGTCATTTTTAACTTGTGAGCTGTATTATACATATCTATGAATCCATGGTGACCGGGCTGTTTATGTTTTTATAGACGAAAATGACGCAGAAAAAGGAGACAACTTTGCCTTTTTTGTTCACCCCATACCAGTAAGTACAATTAGTGAGTTGTAAGAATTGTGAATTAATAACATTACTTTTAATTTGCTGTGTGTTTAGTTTAGAAAAATCATGCTTAATTTGTGTTATGTACAAAGTGTGCAAGGCTTGGATAGATATATTTCTGTAAGACTATTAAAGGCTGCAAATGCTGAGGTACTCTATTGCAGGTCCATGCAAAATAATAAACAGCGCAATGTGCTGATATTATTGTGGTTGTGTAAATATGAAGGCAAATGAAGTACGTTTCATTCGGTCAAAAAAATAATAATTCCAGACCGCATTTAAATGCAATTTCATGCACTCTGTCTTTATTGCCTCGTCTCACTATTTTCTCAGACTACTGACTGAGTCAAAACAAGCGGAAATCATCCACAAGGCCAGAATACTGATTCAGCTGGAGAAGTATGACGATGCTGTGAGTATTTGGGAAGGGACAGCCTGCAGCTTACATACTAACATACATGATTGTATAATATTCAGCTGATGTTGCAGTATAAAGTTAGTTCTTTTCATTCCTCCTCACCTGTCTCCTGTCAGATCTCCCTGTGCCGCTCTCTCATATCCCACGCTCTGGATGGCTTGGTCTACTACCACACCTACGACAGGTTCTTCCTGGGTTGCAGTGTGGTGCTGGGATTTGTAGGCTGGACCTCGTATGTCGTCCTAGTCATACTGAAGACTCACGCCAGCCTCAATAGAAACCCAAGCCTCCTCAAACAGGTCGGGCCACTACTGTATAATCCATCTTTCTTTGTCTCCAAAGATTCCCTTTACTTAGACAAGTTTATAAAACTTGAATGTCTCGTTAAATTACATTTTTTGTTGGTGCTCTGCTCCTGTGTATGTGCACAGACTCCCAGCCATACCCTGGCGAGGCTGTGTGTATTTGTGACAGTGGTGATCACCGTGTTCCTGCTCATCCAAAGGAGTCCCCTCACTTACTATGTTTACTGCCTGCTGCCTGTGCCTGTGTGGTACTCTGTCCTTAAAGAGTAAGTAACACACATTT